TGCTGTTCCGAAGCCTCAGTGGCACTAAGGGGGAAGTTATTGATTGCTTGAGTCTTGAAGTGTTATTGAGGAACAAATTAAGAGTATAGTGTTGGAAGAGAAGGGGTGGCATCCCAGGAAGAAGGAACAGAATTTGTGACAGCATGGGGATTTTTTTGTAGGAAGGAATTTCCCATGTCAACTTAAAATAGGAATTTTCTTTTTAAATTGGCTTCTGTGAAGCTTTCTTTTCTTAATTGGCTTCCTTACTTGTTAATTGCTTGCTTGATTTGATTGATTTATATTTCAAAACCATTGGCTTTATGGTATATAAGCCATTTTGAAGAGAGGCAGGAAAGTTTAAAATTTACAAAAACTTGGATATACCAGTGCTGTGGAGAACCTGCCTGCTGCCCTTCTGGAGCACAACAAGGTTATCAACTATTATGAAGTAATTATTAGATGTATGTGTTAATGTAATTAACTAATGATACTACATTGAGGTTGCTGAATTTTGGAAATGGAATATTAAATTGGGAGAACAAGATACCTTAAAAGACTAGAGGGAATAATACCTTGAGCTCAAATAAGGCCAGGAATAATTCCTATTCTAGTTAGCCAGAGTGAAAAATCTCATAATTCTTGGGTTATTGGGTAGTGTTCGCAGACGGGTTTTGTTCCAGTAGTAGGACAAAATTAACCCTGAACGAATTCTGTTCTGGTACTATGTAACAAAAAGAATCACACTTTCCAAATAACTGCATCCCAGAAGAAAGCTCAAGAACATTTATAGGAATATAAACTTTCTAGAACCCAATAGGTAAAAGTCCAGTACCCAGCCATCCACTCAAAAATTACCAAGCAAGAAGCAGGAAAATATGATTCACAGTAAGGACAAAAAGCGGGGACTAGAAACAGACCCAGAAATGACACAGATGATAGAATTAGTGAACAGATAGATACCTTAAACAGTTCTTAGGACTCTATTCCATATGTTCAAGAAGCTAGAGAAAAGACTGAAATTGCATATGGTAGGTAGAGACATGGAAGATGGAGAAAGATCAAAATCAGACTTACAGAAATTAAGAACTACAATGTCTGAGATGAAAAATACCCTGGGTGGGATTAACAGCCAGAGATAATAGCTGAAAAGTGTCTGAACTTGATGAAAACTAAAATGCGTACATCTAAGAAACTCAGCAAACCCCGGGCATAAGAAATACGAAGAAAATTATAATAGGACACATACATTTTAATGAAATTATTTAAAGCCAGTGATAAAGAGAAAATCTGAAAGATAACCAGAGGAAAAGAAAACTATTACACACAGAAGAACAGAGCTAAAGATGGCGGCAGTCATCATGGTTTCTCATGAGCAGTGATGCAGGGGAGAAGAAGATAGTGGCCCAACATCTTGCAAGTATTGAAAGAAGAAACTTGTCTGGAATTAAATGCCCACTAAAAATGTATTTCAAAAATGAAGGTGAAATAAAGACTTTGTCCAGATGTGCAAAAGGTGAGAGGATTCGTTACCATCAGGCCTGCATTACAAGAAATGAAAAGAAGGAAAATTATACCAAATGGCAATCTGGATCTGTACCAAAAAAATGAAGAGCACCAGAAATGATAATTGTGTGGGCAAATATAAATTACTTTTACTGTTCCTTAAATCTCTTTAAAATATAATGGGATGTTTAAAGCAAAAATAACAGCCGTCTATTATGAGGTAAAAGGTAATAACAATAAAAAGTGGGAGGGAGAAACGTTCTATTGTAATAAGGTTCTTACACGATATGTGCATTGGTGTAAAGCATTTGAATTAGACTGTGATGAGTGAAAAATGTGTATCATAAACTCTAAAGCAGTCATTAAAACAACATAATTACATAGTTCATTAGCCAATAAAGGAGAGAAAAGGGAATCATAAGAGCAATACAGTTAACCCAAAAGAAGGGTTAGTTCAAAGAACAAATGGGGTGGGTAGGAAAGAAAGTTCAAGATGACCCCGTGACATCAGTAATCACATTAGCAGTAAATAGTGTGAGCACCTCACTTAAAAGGCAGACGTCGTCAAATTGGATAAAAAAGTGAGACCCTACAAGAAATCTATGTTCAGTGTAAAGGCACAAAGAGGTTAAAAGTGAAAGGCTGGGGTAAGATACAGCGTGCTGATCCTAATGGAAAGTTTGCTGAAATGGCAACGTAAGTATCAGCCTAAGTCCCTTTCAGAGCAAAGATGATGACCAGGAATAAAGAGGATTGTTTCATAATGAAAAAGAGATTGTCATTAAGAGAACATAACAATCCTAAACATTCATATACTGAATAACAACTTCAAAATTCTTAAAGCAAAAATTGAAAGAACTGCAACAAGTAATTGACATACTCATAGTCGTAATTTTCAACACTGCTCTCAGTAGTTAAGTAGAGAGAAAATCAGTAAGGATGTTGGCGGCTTGAATAACATTATTGAACAACTTATTCTAACTGACATTTAGTGAATGCTCCACCCAACTATAGCAGAATACACATTATTTTGAAATGAGAACAAGTCTCAATAAATTTAAGAGGACTCTAGTCAGGCCCGGTATGTTCCTTGACCATGGTGGGACTAATGGAAATCAGGAAACCTCTAAATATGGGGAAACCAACAAACTTCCAGCTAACCCTTGGCACAAAGGAGTGATCAAAAGGGAAATTAATAAAGCATTATGAACTGAATTATAATTAAAACACAACATAATCAAAATTTGGGATGCTACCAAAGAAGAAAATATAGAGAAATTTGTAGTATTAAGTGGTTATTATTAGGAAAGAAAAAGTCTCCATTCAGAGACTAGCTTCTACCTTAAGAAACTAGAAGAAAAAAGCAAATTAAAACCATAGTAATTAGAAGAAGGGAAATACTAAAGAATGGAAATCAATGACATTGAAAATAAAAAATCCATAGAAGGATAAATCTGGTTTTTAGAAGATTAGTCAAAGTGACAAATCTAGCCAGAATGACCAGGTGAAAAAGAGCAAAGCACAAATTACCAATAGAGTAATGGAAGAGATCCCATCACTTCAGATCTTACAGATACTGAAAATATAATAAATACGATATAAAGAAATACTATGCTATAAAGAAATACCATACTATAAAGAAACTTTATACCAATAGATTCAGCAAGTTAGATGAAATAGAAATATTTCTTAAAGGGCACACACACTGCCAAAACTCAAGAAAAAAAATTAAATAACCCGAATAGTGCTGTATCTGTATAATAAATTCGGCTGGTTGTAAAAACCTTCCCTCTGAGAAAACCCCAGGCCCAGGTGGATTTGCTCGTGAATTATGCCGAACTGATTTTGCTGAAAGTGTTCCAGAAAATTGAAGAAGAGAGCGTTCTTTCCAACTCCTTATATGAAGTCAACATTACTCTGATACCAAAGCCAGACAGAGACGTAAGAATACTATAGTCCAATAATTCTTGTGAACACAGATGTAAAAATTCTTAAAATTTCAGCAAATAGAATTTAACAGTACATGTATGAAAAGGACAATGCATCATTACTCAAGTGGGGTTTATTCCAGAAATGCAGTGTTGATTTAACAGGCAAAAATGAATCAGCACAGTTCACCGTATTAATAGACGAATGTGGAAAAATCATGATCTCGGTAGATGAAGAAAAAAACATTTGAGAAAATTTAACATGCTGTTGAAAACTCTTTCCGGATGGACTAGCGGGAACTTTGTTGACATGGTGAAGGGCATGTGCAGTGAAGGCCTACCCCGAACCGTGTGCTTCATGGGGAAGGACTGAATGCTGCTGGCACGGCACTGAGGTGCTACGCTGGGAGGGCCGGCCAGAAAGAAAGGAAAGGCGTCCACATCAGAAAGGAGGCAACAGAACCATCTTTAGTAGCAAATGACATGGTCCTGTAGAAAAGCCTCTGGAATTTACAAAAGAACACCCAGATAAGTGAGTTTAACGTAGTTCCAGGGTATAACATAAATACACAAAAATCATGATCCGATTTTTTTTGTAGAGAGAAAGGTACATCACTGAAAAAAGACCAGAAGAAGGCAGTTCTCTACGGGAGATAGGTTCCTGAGTCCACCCCCTTCCCCAATCTGTAGTTTCTAACTTCTGTGCAAGTGTTTACTTCTGTGGTAATGATAGCAATAAAAGTCATTGTTTTAGAAAGAATTTTCAGCCACACTATGTAAATGTGATGTAATTTAGCGTTTTTCATTTTTCGGTGAATGTCATGACTTCGTGAGGACTTTTACACTGAAAACATGTGGGGCATTGTACTCATTTTATGTTTCTGATTCTGTCCTACCATTTTAAGTTGTTAGCTCTGCCACCCTTCACGTTCTAGTATCAGGAAGGCATTGTGATCGTAATCATTACTCATTTTTCTCATGTATTTATTGAGCGTCTCCTATGTACCTGGTATTGGGGAATGCAGAGATGAGGAAGACCCACGGTCTCTCAAGGCTTCCGTCCTCATCTCTTCATTATTTTCTCTCTTGGCTTCTTGTATTTAAGCTTTTCTAGACTTCTTTTAGTTCTAGGAACTTGGGAAGTGCACCCCTCCCCCCCAATTGGCTCTCATACCTGCCGTTTCTTTTGTCAGGGATACTTTCTTACCCCACCCCATGTCACTGCATACTCTTTATTTAGTTCTTAGTTTAAATGTCATTCCTCAGGGAAGCTTTTCCTGATCTGCCCAACAGGGTTATAGAGTCTGCTAGCACCTTGTACTTTGCTTTCCCAGAATTTATCACCATTGTATTTAATACTTTTTGAGTAATCACCAGACTGAAACCTTGTTGCATGGTCATATTTTCATCATTTGAGTTGTTCTTCAGAGGTGGGCTTCAGTATGTTTTGAGCTTGTGAGTCTCTTGGTTTATCTTATGACAAAGCAGCTTGGCCCCTGGCTGGATTAGCCGTGTAGTCCATGGCCAAGGATTAGATGGAGCAGATCTGTTAATTCTGTACCTCAAATACAACTCTTGGAATTTCAGGTAACACAGGAAGAAGGACAGCAGTTAGCCCGACAACTTAAGGTAACATACATGGAGGCGTCAGCCAAGATTAGGATGAATGTAGATCAAGCTTTCCATGAACTTGTCCGGGTTATAAGGTAAGTGAAATACATCTTAGAAGTTTGTTTTAATTTATTGAATTTGACAGGTAATCATACTGTGTTGTTTAAAACCATTAGCTGAAAAAGAAATTGCCACTCAGTGTTTTCTGTAAGAAAGAGGAAGCTGTATGTAGAAGTGCTTCTGTGCTAGGAGCTAATGCCCACAGCATATTACAAATTTTAACTAAGGACATATTGTACACTGGGTACTTCCTCTATATAAAACCAAATTCAGTTACATTGAAGGAAAGAGTACACGTAGGGATTTTGAGAAGAATCTGTGCTGCTTCCAAAGGTGTCCGTGGCATGAAGATAGGGATGACAATAGCTAACATTTGGGTGGCAGTCTCTGTCAGATACTGCACCTCATACTTCACATGTATTACGGCATTGAATCCTCACCACAACCCAGTAAGCTAAATCCTTTGATCTGTCCTCACTTTTGGATGAGAAAGCAGGTACACAGAGGTGAGTTAACTTGCTGAGAGTTTTGGCTTTAAATGGTAGGGCTGGCACTCAAATCCATCTCTCTGATCGCAGAGCCTGTGCTCTTCAGCTTTGCTTCATCCCCGTCCCTTCCCAGGCTGAGTGAGCCAGGTAGTAGAGAGTCAGGCCTCCCATTCGTGGGGTGAAGTATGATATCACAGATAACCAAGGGGTTTTCTGTCTGTTGGCCTAGAAGGCCCCTGTGGTTCAGAAAGTGTTAACGGTACCAGGAAGCTTGAGGTGATGGGTGAGGTCACCTGGAGTTAGTTTCATGTGAGAAAAGTTGAGTTGCTTTAAAGTGGGAGGAGTTTAATTTGATTATTTTTAGCCTTGGTGGCTTGGCCTCTCCTTCACCCTGGGCTCTCTAAGATCTGCCAGTCTCTCTGCCTGCCAGGTATGTGGAGTGAGCTGGTGTTAATTGTGTATCTAAGGTGAATCCACATCGGAGCTCTGGGCTTCTTGTGCTGTTTTAGCCCTTTGCCTGGGCATTCTCTTTGTGGGGAAAGAAGAGTAAGGATTATAGTTTTTCATTTTTTAGTGGTTTGTTAAAAGTACGAGTTCTGTTTTTAAATGAGCACAGAGTTTCAGTTTTGTAAGATGAAGAGTTCTGGAGGTGGATGGTGGTGATGGTTGTACCACATTGTAAATATATTTAATACTATTGAACTGTATGCTTTTTTTTTTTTTTTAAAGATTTTATTTATTTATTCATGAGAGACAGAGAGAGAGAGAGAGAGAAGCAGAGGGAGAAGCAGCTCCCAATGGCAGGGAGCCTGATGTGGGACTCGATCCCAGGACCCTGGGATCATGACCTGAGCCGAAGGCAGACGCTTAACCATCTGAGCCACCCAGGCGCCCTGAACTGTATGCTTAAAAATGGTTAAGATGTTAAATTTTGTTATATGTATTTTAACATGCGTGTGCACACAAATCAGTACCTTCTTAACATAACTTTTACTGCCTTTGGAAATATTTTGTCCTTAGTTTTGATCCTCAGAATCTATATCCATGTACGTCAATCTGGAGTGAGGAGTGGGTAGAGGAGGCTTTTTAAAAAAATGTTTAATTTTAATTTTATTTTTATTTTAAGTAGGCTCCATGTCCAACGTGGGGCTTGAACTATGACCCCGAGATCAAGAGTCGCATGCTCTACCCACTGAGCCATCCAGGTGCCCCTAGAGGAGGCTTTTTTATGCCAGGCACTGATAGGCCTTTAAACATAACAGTCTTCTTAAATCCTCATAGCAACTGTGAAAGGTAGAGTTTTATTATTCCCTTCTAAAAAACTGAGGCTCCACAGAGGTCAGCTGACTTGTCTAATGCTGACTTGTGGCTAGTAAGTGGCAGAACAGGCATAGGAACTGCGTACCTCGTACTTTCTATTCTACTCTAGCGGTGGACGCTTCTTCTTAAGTATACCTTATAGTCATGCAATTTCAAATTGGGAAGGGGACTTAGAGGTCATTGAGTTCAGTATCTCAATCTGAGTCAAGACTCACCTGTAAGTGAAACTCAGCTCTGCTTATGCTGGTGTTGAAACATTTGTGCCTTTTTTCCCCTCAAAGATTTGCTTTGATTCCCTAGTTGAAATTCAACATTGAGAAGCATATGCACATAAACTAGGCTTGTCCAAAAATTATATATTTGTGATATTACCAGCAAGACAATTATATGTAGATTTTTCTGTCTTACAGGAAATTTCAAGAGCAGGAATGTCCTCCTTCACCAGAACCAACACGGAAAGAAAAAGACAAGAAAGGCTGCCATTGTGTCATTTTCTAAGAATCCCTTGAATTTTAGCTACCAACTGCCAGGAAAAGCCCTCATCTTCTCCTTCTCTCCTTATGGTTTACATCACATCACGTTGGTACCTTTCTAGCCTTAGACAAATGATCACCGTGGTAGCCTTAGACCTAGAAGCTGGCTAATCCTTTCTGTGAAGCTAATCCTATGGTCATTTCAAGACAGATTTAAAGGAAACACTAAGGCTGCTTCAAAGATTATCTGATTCCTTAAAAATACTGATCTATATACACAGACACATTTCTTTTTTAAGGGCTTACATTTTAATAGGGATGAATCAGTTTTGGAACCTAAGCTGTTTGCCAAGCTGAAGTCATAGGTTGTGAAATAACTTTTACCTTCTGGAATCATATTTCCTATTGTTACTCTAAATAGAAATGTAAGGAGTTTTTTTTAAATGTGAATTTTTGCCTATCTTTAAAAATTTTGATGTCAACTTTAGTTAACCTGAAATACACTGAATTGAACCACAAAAATGAGACATCTCGGACCTTTACTGATGCTACAGCCTTTGTTTTCCAGTGGCCAAAATACCAAATGCCTATTGTATTTATAGGTTAAAAACTGCATATGAAGCCTTTATTAAGTGCTCCACTCCTGAAGAGGATAGTAATGTTCTGTATGGCCAAATATTTGGACTTATTCTGGGCTTAAGGCATTTCAATGTTCTTGGTTTTTTAAGTTAACTCTTTTCACAGCCTTGTCGAGAGTAAAAATAAATAATTTCTGTCTGTCTTCCTTTTCAAGTATTTCTGGATAAGGGATTCAAAAAAACTAAAACTGTTTTTGTTTGTAATATAAAATATGGAATTGATCTTTCCGAGGTCAGAGATGATTAATGTTTTTGCTATATACTTTTATACATTATTTTCTTATCAAACTAGTTAACAAGTATTTTTATATGTTTGTAAGCAAATATGCTTTCACAGCATACCTTGTGTATATGTAAAGATAAGTATTTAATTCTCACTGTTCACTTTTAACTGACAAAGAAAAAAAAGTGAAAACTACAGAAACTGTGGTAGAACTTTACTTGCTGTTCTGGTCCTGGTCCTGGTGGCGCCCACCTCTGGCCAGTCACATACCTGCTCGAGGAACCTTCTCCATAGATTACAACAGGATGAGAATCTGAAGTCACTTTTGATACCCCGTACTAGGTATTGGCTGTTATATCAAGTAGTAAGTGTAAAACTTAATTGACAATTAGTATAACTGTGGATGGCTTTTGATTTTGTTTTTAATTCTGTGGATTGTGTTTAAACAATTCAAAAGTATGTTCCTGATCGTGAGATACTAAGTGGTATTGCACAGTTGTCACTTTATTGAATGTGTACAACAGTCCCATGAAGTTGATAAAGCGTACCCTTGTATAGCTTCAGGTGCTAGAATTAAAATTGATCTGTTATCACAAGATAAGGTTTGATGACTTGTTATTTTGGTGGTTTCTTGAAGGAATGAGTGTTGTAAGAAACTTATTTTAGTAGCTAGTTCGGTGCCTTTTTCTGACAGTGCCTTAGGGTTTGAATGTAAAAATCAGTATTAGTTATTTAGCAGGTGAAATTGAAGTGAAATGGCTTGGTGTTCTTAGGGATTTCCCGAATATTTTCTTGAGTTGGTGTTTCTTAAACGTTTTCTATGAAGTGCCCCTGACAGAAAACCCATCTCTGAAGGAGAGAGGAGGGTGAATACATACACATATACTCCTCTGAAGATGAAGCTTAAAACAGCTGAAGCAAAATGCACACGTTTATTTGAATGCTTATTAAAACTACTGTCCAGGAAGGTAGTAACCCATAGTTATCGTGTGGGTTTTGATACTATAGTGCTATTGCATATCCTTGTTAGGACTTTCATTTGGGAATATTTTTTATTTATCATAGGTAACTTCAGATAACAAGAGATTGTCTACATAATAGGTAGATTTAATGGGAAACCTTTAATTTTATTCTGAATAGATGATTTATAGCGAAGCAGTTTGAAGGTTAAATTTTGTTACATCAGTTTACTTTTTTTCCCTTTCTGTGCTTCACTTCGGATGCTTTTTATTGCTACATCTTCAAGTTCCCTAACCTTTTCTTCTGTTGTTTCATCTGCTGTTAATCACATTTAATGAATGAATTTTTCATTTCAGCCGTGTTTTCTTTTTTCTTCTGTAGAAGTTCTGTTTGGCTCTTTTTACATCTTCCATCTCTCTCACTGTGCTCATGTATTTCTCTTATCCAGCCCCTCTCGGCTGAGTTCCTGGGGAATTGAGTCTAATATCTTATCTATCTTTGGTGTGCAATGAATTAACTAACTTCTCTTTGGTGCATCTAGGGTGGTTCTAGCTGTGTACCATCCTTGGGAGAATTGAGAAAGGCTGCTTTGATATTTGAACATGGTTATAATGTCTGTTTTTAAATTCCTTATCTCTATAATTTTTGAATGTTTCTGTTGACTGATTTTTCTCTAGTTATGGATCACGTTCTTCTGGTTTTTTGTTTTTTGTTTTGTTTTTTTTGCATGTATAGTAAGTTTTGATTGGATGCTGGACATTGTGTATTTGTTGGGTGCCTAGATTTTGTGGTCTTCATCTAAGGGTTTTTTTTTTTTCCCCCCTTTTTCTGGTAGTTAGTATATGTGTAGTTCAGTTTAATCCTTTCAAGGCTTGCTTTTAAACTTTACACAGTCTCAAGTATCTCCCCCCGCCGCCCCTGCCGGGTGGTTTAGCTCTAGTACTAAGGTGTGGCCCTCTTAGTGTCTCTACTGAATGCCCTGTGTAATCAGTGAGGACTCTCCAGTTTGGCTAATGGGAACCAAACAATTCCCAGCCCATGTGAGCTCTGGGGAACCATTCTATCCATAGCTCCTGGATCATCCTTTACCCAGCCTCTGGAGTTTCATTCTAAACATGTATATCTTAATATCTAGCAAAAACTTGGTGACCCTATGCATATTTTTGGAGTTCTTTTTTTCTGTGTAGCTCTCTCCCCTCCAGAACTTTGTCCTGCAACTTTCAGCTGCCTCAGACTCCCGGTGTCTGGGACAGATCTCCAGTGTCTGTCTTTTCAGCTTAGGGAAACATTTATGCCCTGCTTGGGATCCCCCATCCTTTCTGCAATCTGGAATGTGCCTCTAGGCAGAAAGTCAGGGCAATCTTAAGGCTTACCTTTTTGTTTCTCTTCCATCAGAGTTGGTAGTCCTATGCTGTCTGGTGCATAATGGCTGAAAATAGGTGTTTCACATACTAACTCCAGTTTTCTGGTTGTCTAGGGTAGGAGGGTAAATCTGGTTCCTGCTACTTACTCCTCTATTGGAACCTGAAGTCTCTCCCATGTGATATCTATCATACAATGAGAGGTGCCTTGTAGCCCTCTGAATTTATGACTTGAAATCTTTTTTTTTAAAGAATGGCCAGTCTTGTGGCATGAATAGTCCTTGTCTGTGTGACCATTTTTTTTTTCCTCTATAGCTGGGGGATTGGGAAATTGTTTTTTTGCAAAGGACCATATGGTAAATATAAATATCATCTTGGGTTTTGTGGGTTATACGGTCTCTGTCCCAGCTACCCAGCTCTGCCGTCGTAGCACCAAAGCAGCCATAAACAGTGTATAGATGAATGAATGTGGCTCTGTTCCAATGAAACTTTATGTGGGGACATTGAAATTTGATTTCATATCATTTTCATGTCATGAAATATTAATCTTCTTTTGAATTTAAAAAAAATACATTTAAAATTGTAAAAACTATTCTGTACAGATGGCAGATTGGATTTGATCTGTGGGCCATGGTTTGCCAGTCTTGCTCTACAGCACATGTAGCATTTGAGATTACATTCCCAACTTTAGAATCTCTTCTCTTTATATATGTGAAAGTTCTTTCGAACAGTATTTCCTGAATTGAGAGTCATGAATTTGTGTCCTAGGAATTTTGTCTCTGTAATATTTGTTTAGGGATTTATAGTATTTCAGGGTTGGACGTTATGCCTTATTGATATACATCTTACATTGATGTCTCTAAATTTGGGCCTTCAAAGTTTTATCATATAAATTGGTCCCTTTATCATTTGACTTTTAAAATTTGCTATAACAAGGTTCTATATACATCAGGTCCACCTTGTTCCTCTTCTGACTTTTCATCACCACTAGTTTTAATTTATTTCTTTTCCCATTCCTGTATATAAATGACCCCATTAAACAGATAGCTGGCAAATAAATAGGACGAGAGGATGATAAAGTGGTTACTTTCAATATCACTTGACCACATAAGAGTATTTAATGAGTAACTGCATATAAAGTGTCAAGGAGCCTTTTAGAAAAAGGTATTGTAATTTGAACAGATGTCTTTCTGCAGGACTTCATTAGGTGTTCTGGGAAATGGATAAACGGGGAGTGTTTCCTTCCTACAAACTTTGGTTATCTAGTGGAGGAAGACTATGAGTGAGAAGACAAATACCAGGGATGTAGTTAAAGCAGAGTGAGAAGCGTTCACAAAGCTGTCCGGTCCTGCAGGTGTTATCTGTTCCATGTGGAAGATCTGAGGGAGCTTCTTAATTAGAAGTGGTGCTTTGGTCAGAGCTTGATGGATTGGTGGGATCTCAGATGGGGACGAGAGGAAAAGAGAGGTGGTGGGAAGGAAGGCTGGGGAAAAAGACACAGAGTTGGCAGAATGCAGGGAGTATTCTGGGACTGGAACCTTAATCTAAAAGGATTTTAAGTGCAATGGGAAAAAATAATGATAAAGTAGACTGGGCTTGGGTTGTGGAGAGCTTTAAAAATAGGATGGCCCTTCTGTATGTAATGGGGAGCTGCCAAGGATTCTGAACAGGGAGTGCCTGGATCTAATCTAGTGGTATGGATGACAGAGCAGTGCAGCTTTGAGGAAGGGTGGTCAGGTAAGAGGTTATTCGAGTCATGGAATCTGTCTCTTTCCAATTTGTTTTGCCACCTGTGTTGTTGCAATTGCTTTTGAAGTAGTCTTTTTATGTGCATTTTGCCCCCACAAAGCTGTTATGTAAATACAGCTAAAGGGATCTTTTTTAGCCCATAAATTAAATGTTACACTGCTGCTTAAAATCTGTCATCACCTCAGTGCACTTGGACTAGTATCCAGATTCCTTCCCATAGTGTACAAAGCAAGCCCCTTGCAGGATCTGTCCTCGCTTCTCACACTCAGGCTGATGTACTTTCTTACACCCTATAGCATGCCGGGGTTTCCCAGACTGTTGGCTCACTTGACTATTCCAGTTAGGTGTTTCAGCCTTTTGCTTTTGTTTTAGATGCCTCCTGCTCAAAGAGCCCTCTTCAACCAGCCCCCTGTAGCACCACTTTGCCCTGTATTTACTTAGGGACACATGGACATCTGTGATGATTTTGTCTGTCTTGTCTGATCTGTACTTGAGTGTCGTAGGCTCTGTGAGGGCAGAAGCACATCTGCTGTGTTTAGTGCTTTACCCCACAGTGCCCTGGCATGTGCAGGAAAACCATTTGATGAATGAGTAAGGCACACAGGCAATTCTAGTGGTAGAAATACATGGTGATTGTGGCAGTTACATGCAGGGTGAGTCCAGGAGGCATTTGGGAATGCGGATTGGAGCTCCAAAGAAGAGGCTAGGACTGCAAGTGCAGGTTGGGAATTTATCTATTTTGATCTGGTGATTGAAGAGGTGGGAGTGGATTGAAGTAGAAGGAGTTTGAGAGAAGATCCAAGGGTAAAACTTTTGGGGAAGACGAACATTTGGGGATAAAACAGTAAAAGGCAGCAGAAAGCCAAGAGAAGCAGCCAGAAACTGGAGAGAACTAGGACACTATTGTCAAAGAAGCCAAGGGGTGGTCAGAAGCTGTGAGTGCTGTACAAAGATTGGGGTGGGAGAGGTGGGGAGGAGTAAGAGGCAGCAGTGATTGCGTAGATGTTGCTGATGACTTTGAAAGTTTTGTGTCAGTCATCTGGTTGTGGGAACCAGATTGTAGTGGGTTGTGGTGTAATTGGAGGGCAAGGAAGTGGAGGAAGTGTGGGCTACCATTCTGAGAAATTCTGTGGCAAAATCAGAGGGTGATGGGGCAGTTACCGTGCTTGCATAGGGTCGGCTGTTAGAGGAGTTAGAAGAGCCAGGGCATGGTACTTAATCATAGATAAGTAGGTATGCAGGTCTGGAAGTAGGTATTGCCATGTAGACATGGGTGCTTTGGAGACATTCAGAGGCTGGCATCCCTTTCTGCCTGGGTAGTGAGAATGGCACACAGCGCTGCACTTCTCACACTGTCTCCGGTGAGCGGCCAGTCTGGAAAATTGTTCCTCCCCGCTGCTGGGGAACGATACTTTGGCTAAATGTAATTGAAAAAACCCAACTCTTAGAAAAATAATCATACTCTCGGATATTGTGGCAATGTCAAATTACCGTAAAAGTTTCTGAACACTTGTTTTCAATTTTTGTATCTCGTTGTAGGCTGGTGATGGTTGGTGGACGTTCTCAGGCTGCACGTCTCTGCGTAGTGCTAATGTAGTGGGTAAGGGAGCGGCAGATTGAGGTATTTTTCACCAGTGCTCCTTCTGACTTCCCAGATAGGCTCGTGAATTCCAGGGGAAGAGCACAGTAGGAGATGCTTGCCTCCTAAAAACACAGACTCTACTTTCATATTTTTACAGAAAAAAATACAGACTCTACTTTTACAAATGTCAGGTGTTGTAAAGGAGTCCGGAGTCTTGAATAAGATGTTTGCCGTTGTCCCTTCTGCTAATACTTAAAATTATTTGAAGTAAACTGTTCAAACACATAACAGTTAAAATCTGAGGACCGTTAAATATGAGAAATCCTCGAATATCAGAACTATTACCAGTCAGTTCTAAAGCCAGGAAGTGGTTAAGAACATATTTCATGAGAATTTAGAGCAGTATGAGAAAATGTTAATGAATGCTATCTTCTGTTCAACATTATAACTGTTAAGTGAAAAATCTGAAATTGCATTTTGGTCTGATGAGAGCCGGGTTAAAAGTAATGCATGTATATTTTATTTGTCAGGACATTTTCAGGTATAGGTGGCAGAAACACAAGTCAGGCCAGCTTCAACACAAAGTGGGCATTTACTGGTTTCTGAAGAAGTGGGGGGCTGCTGAGGTGAAACTGGCATCCAGGGACTCCTCCGTCAGCGTACCGTCACAACGTTGTTCGTTCTCAGGATGAGAACTGGCTAAACTGGGGAGGTGGGGCAGAGAAGTCCCTTAGTGTAAGCCCGGCTGTGTCAGAGCCCGAGCCAGAAAACGCAGGTTCCCTGTGCTCGGCCATGGTAGGACTTCTGCTTCTCTGCCCCGCTGAGTGTATAAAACCTTCCAAACCCACAGGGATCTAAAGCAGGGGTGCCATTATTTAAATTTGACATTTTAGTACAGATCTTCTGCTCACAGACTTCAGAGGATTTAAACTGAAGAATTATCTTCGTGCTCATTAGCATTCAGTTGCTATTTATAGTTTTACAGCATCTCACTCATTTTCCAAAAGGGACTCATTTATTTCACTCATTCTCCCTACTTTTGGGCAATATGAAGAATAAAATCAATCATTGTATTATTAAAATTAATAGCACCTAATAACCAAAGAGTGGAATGAGTGTGTCTTCCTTGATTCTGTGTTGTAATTAGGGATTAAACATGTATGTTTACTCTTATTTGGACAGTAGTGTCCATTTCTTTAGGGTGTAAATACTTAACTGGGGGGGTACGGGGACTCACCATACAGTCCTGGTACACTATAACATTTAGCTCCTTTAGTCTGTTGCCTGAAACATGTGGGCTGTTTGTTAGGTCACAGAGATCATTTGATACAAAGAATTATTGTATATTGACATTTTAGCCACGGATTTGACCTGGACTAAGTTTCTGGAGAATTGTAGTCCTGTGAGAATGTATAATGTACTCTTACTTCCCATAAGAAGTATACAGACTTCTGAATATGCCTAAGACATGTTTAATACACAAAGTTTATAAGCACAGCACGAAATCTTTTTTTTCAGTTCTGGGTCTGAAGAAGCCCAGGCTTTATTCTCTTTTGCTACAAGATTTCCTTCAATTAATGCAGTGGTAAGGAAGGTGGCAGGTGAGTGACCCATTGTCTTCTGTAATAGATCTCTGAATTCACTGTCCTCTTAAAATGTGGATGTAAATTGGGTTACAACTGGTTTGACATTGATAAAAATATATACAGTTTAGCTCCTCTTTATGTGGCAGTTCTTACTGGATGTCTTATGATCTCTTTATTATCTTAAGTGGAAGTTGAAACAAATTTCATTTTTGTAGTAAAAAAGTATTTCCAAAAGGATTGGTTAGCCAGGGAAACTATAAACTACCTGACCCAAGACTTTGGTAAGAAAGAGATTTGATGCTTCTTATAAATTCCTCCTTGCAAAAGAAATCATACTTATGTAACAAGAAACAGGTTACCCATTCTCAGCCATTAACCAGTTACTGGTTTTAAGTCTCCGCAATTAGGATTTAAAATGTATCCCATAGAGACCTGATAAGAACATGAGACACCATGGTGGCTTGTCCTTAGACTTAGGAATTACTGACTTGAGGGACTTTGATTTTCTTTTTTTTTTTTTAAAGATTTTATTTATTTATTTGACAGAGACACAGCGAGAGAGGAAACACAAGCAGGGGGAGTGGGAGAGGGAGAAGCAGGCTCCCCGCAGAGCAGGGAGCCCGACGTGGGACTCGATCCCAGGACCCTGGGATCATGACCTGAGCTGAAGGCAGTCGCTTAACCAACTGAGCCACCCAGGCGCCCAGGGGACTTTGATTTTCATGGGTTGAAAATAAGTATGCCTCTAGATGGCCAAGAATAATGTTGCACAAGTGGGCAGATTCTATATCAAGATTTTCTGTCCTAGTTAAACCTCTTCTTTATATTATGCTCCTTTGTGGGGCAAGGTAGCAATTCTTTTAAGGATTACAAAAATAATACTGGAAACAACTCGAAGTTCCAGAAGACTCAGGGATGTGGTAATAATGGTCCCTCTCAAATGAGGGAGCAAAGACCATATCTTTTGCTGAATGTGATTCAGGTGGATCACTGGAAAGGGCCCAGTCTTCTGAACACTTTTAATTAGTTTAAAAACACAGAAGACAGACCCAAATGAGTTTTTTATTGAAGATTCAGGGCTATATCATATATATGTTGTGTTTGGAAATATTCTGATGTGCTGAATGCAAATTCTTAAAAGTAGTGTATTCAGAAACATTGTATACATCTCATCCATGATACATATTTGGATTAAGCATAATGAAAACCTGCAACAGAAATGAAACAGTTTTAACAATAAATGGAGTAAAAACTGCTGTACTCAGTTCAGTAAAATGTCTTCTTACACAAATTCTTGGTAGTCAGAATCCCTGAATTTGATGCTTTCGAGTGCTTCGAAGGGGATGGAAAACCATGGCCTTGCCCACACGTGTGTTGGAGGACCAGAGCCCTGGTGTGGAGAGCCCAGGTAAAGTTTGTCTTTCCCCCCGATTTTCCTACTCGGCCCGATTCTGTAATATTCCTTTCTCCCTCAATGTTTTGCTTGGTCTCTGAAACATTTTTCTCTCTACGTATAAAAAAAACGTTATGATTTAAAAAAAAAAACCCTTTAAAGTATAGATAGTATTTTTGTTCAAACAGTGGCTTGGTGGGATGTGGGCAGACGTATAGCTAAACGATGTTTTCTTGGTAGAACTGGTTTGAAAACTTAAAAGTCTAGATATGTGTCAGAAGATTTTAAAAGTGCAGGCTTGGGACTGCTAGAGAGGCCAGTTTTGCTGCCTTGGCCTTGGTTCTAGTAAGTATGGGAGGTCAGAAGGTTTATAAGGCTGGCTTCCCAGGAGAATTGTGGCCACAAAAAAAAAAAGCCAGGGAAAAATACTTTCTAGACTTAGTGCCTTTTAGCTCAGGTGTAAGAACCGGCGACCTTACATCCCAGTAAAGCGGCCATCATTTCCTTTCTCGGGGCTTTGGGCACCACTATTGGGAGGGGAGGATCTGAAATGTATTCAGAACTTCAGAATTTCTGAAAGAAAAGCCATCCTCTCTCAGTGCTCTTCACGTCTACCAGCTCTGTTTTCCCCACGCGGAGACTCAACAAAGGACCTAAAGTTCCACTAAATGAAAGGACATGGGCAAACAGGAGGTTTCTACATGAGCAAGCAGGCCGAAGGCAAGGAGGAGAGGAATCTGCGCTCTCCATCAGAGCAGGATGGTCTCCTCCCTGCTGTACCCCGAGGCTGAGGCATGGGAGTCCCTTCCTGCCCCAGCTGCCTCTCCCTGTGGAGGAGGCCAGGCCTCTGTGTGCTGCCCTGGTGGATGCTCCAGAGGGACACATTTCCGTTGAGGACGGGGGGCTGACACGTCTTCTGTGCTGGAGGAGGGCCAGCAGGGGAGGAGGGAGCCCCACGCAGCCTGTGCCTACCAAGCTGTGGACAGAAAGGAGGTCCCCGGCCTCCACAAGACTACTGGGCAAACCAGACTGCAGAAATGAAGACTAGTGGATACGATTTAAATTGCCTTAAACAACAAGCAAACAGACACTCCAGCCATTGGTGACTGTGCAAATCTAGGGTGCAGCCCTGGACCACTTATACCCTGGCTAACAAGGGTGCACATTGCACGCTCTGATCTCCTTCTTGTCCTTGCAGCTGCTAAACTGGGAGCTTTTGAACCTCTTCTTGACGGTCATGTAGCGTTCCTGGATCCCGCCGCCACACAGTTTGGTGCACTCCGACCAGGCTGTCCACGGGCGCATCCTGCAGCCTGGAAGCACAGGAAAGCCCAGTTAGGGCAGCAGAAATTGGGAGACCATGCCGAATGCTCAACTCCAGTACACACCTGTCAAATTGAGGGGTCTGGGCTTCCCTGCTCTTGAGTGAAATGATGGGTTGAGTTAAACAATGGTTAGAGTCCTTATGAGGGACTGTCAGCCCCTCTGTGACAGACTGCCAGAAATGACCGTAAATGCTTTGCAGTGTTTCCCATCAAGGGGCAGGAGTCCACATCTCCACCTCTAGAGTCGGGGCTGGGCTATAGGATTTGCTTTGGCCCATGGGACATGAGCAAATAGGACTTGAAAACTGCTGGGAACACTTCCACCACCATGTAAACAAGCCTGGCTAGAATGCTGGAGAGGCCATGTGGAGAGAGGCTCCGGGCAGCCCTTCGGAGGCCCCAGTTGCAGGTGAGGCTGGTCTAGACCTTCCAGCTGATAGGAGCTTCATGGGTCCAGCTGAGCCAGCCCAAGTCACTGACCCGCAGAATCATAGTAGTGGTTTTTCTGGGGTGGCTTGTGGATGCAATTAACCACTTGCTCCTGATGCTTTGTTCCCCCTGTACTTGGCCTCCTAGATGCCAAGTAAACTCAAGTATAATTTATTATTTCCCCTACACAGATAGATATGCCTGCCTTAAAGAAAACCGACTGAGCTACCCAAGCGCCCCAGGGAAGTTAAGTGTCTGACTCGATTTTGGCTCAGGTCATGATCTCAGGGTCACGAGACTGAGCCCTGTATCGGGCTCTGTGCTCAGCGGAGAGTCTGCTTGAGCTGCTCTCCCACCGAGCCGCACCCCTGCCTTCCCGCTTGCTCGTGTGTGTTCTCTCGCGCTCTTACTGAAACAAAAACACCTTCCCTGACTCCCAGAGGTTAGATCTTAAAAAAAAAAAAAAAAAGTTTCCATGGCCCTCTAGGTTACTCTTGTACAACCAAGCACGTTTATGATTATCCATCCAGTACTATGCTAAGTTTCCTGGAGAAGACCATGGCACAGTGCCTGCCTGGCACATAGTTGGGCTTAACATTTGTTGAGTGGCTGACTAATGTCCAACAGACAGTACTTTGATACGTGCACAGCTCCTTAACAGAAAGTCAGTGAACTATCAGGGAGCATTTCCTAGGTGGAAGTGAAATGTCTTGAGAAAAAGGGGTAACTTGAGCTGTGCTTTTTTTTTTTTTTTTAAAGATTTTATTTATTTGACAGAGACACACAGAGAGAGGGACCACAAGCAGGGGGAGTGGGAGAGGGAGAAGCAGGCTTCCCGCCGAGCAGGGAGCCTGATGTAGGGCTCGATCCCAGGACCCTGGGACCGTGACCTGAGCTGAAGGCAGACACTTAACGACTGAGCCACCCAGGCGCCCTGAGCTGTGCCTTTTAAAATAGAAACTCAGCATACCCATTAACGTTCATTTTTACATGGTATCTTCCTCACCCACTCCGCAGAATCTAAACACCATCGTGATGATCAGTCTGTACCCAGGACTGAACCATGAATCTTTCCAACTTATTTCATCCGTTTGCCAATGAGCGTGCAGTCCTTGCCTCTGGACCAGTTTATTCAACAGTGAAGCCCCAGTCTTTTTTTTAAAATGCTGGAGTAGGGAACACAGATTTTCCTGGGCTACCAACCAAATTGGCCTTTGTACCTCTGTTTTTGCCACCTCCAAACCACTCAACACAGGTCTGTTAAAATCCGTCTTGCTTAGAGCCGCCTGCACAATGAAGTCTCAAATCCTCAGCAGGCCACTGGACTTTTTATGGTCTGGTCTCCACGCTCCCCCCGCCCCAGCCTGGTTTCCTGCCTCTTCTCTCGGGCTCTACTCCATCTGCCTCTGTTTCATTGACCATCTCATGCTCTTGGGCACTTCTCTGCCTTTGCAAGTACTGTTCCTGCTGTCTGGGATGCAAACCCCTATCAGTTCTTTAGGACCCACTCTCACTTCCCCTGCTTTGACATTGCCCTGCACTCCAGCTTCCAGTTTAGGAGCAATACCTGGGAACTGCTCGCCATCAGACTCTTCCCGCAGCTGCTCACTCCTCCGGCTCTCTCGGGCCTCCCTCCAGCGCAGCTTCTGGATGGATGGATTTTTCAGGCATTTCCGGATGCGGCACTTTTTCCGCTGTACAGTCTCTGGGCAGGGTGCACCTCCAAACTGAGGCTCCATTTCGATCATCCGGGTTCGAATCATGTGGCCTTTCCCACAGGACTTGTTACACGCTGACCATTGGGACCACTCGGTGAGCTCACAGTCAACGGCTGGCGAGACACAGATGGGCATGAGTGTAGATCATTCCTGTCTGAGATAGCATATGGCCTCCTACATTTTACTTTGAGCATCTCAACCCAAGCCTGCGAGAAATGCAAAGGAGGTGCTGTTATCCCATTTTACAGAAGAAACTGAGGCTCCTATAGGCAGATGGACTTCATCCAGCCCGCATGGTTGGTGCGCTGTAGGGGCAGGATTGGTGCCCAGGGCTTCATCCACATTCTATGCCCACATGACAAAATGCTTTGGAGGGAACTTGGAAGATATGTTCAGAGCCTCTTGCCCTGCCCTGTAGCTAGAATATGTCAAATCAGCCTCTGGTGGCATAGAATAGCCTTCCACAGTCCCAAGGACTTGGATTTTCTCAGGGAAGGCACAGCTCACTGGTGCTTTCACAGCTGACCCCAGTGGACCAGTACCCAAGGCCATTGTGACTTCTGCAGTAAGACCCCATAGCTTCTCTTGTTCAACATCCTCCTGAGTCTGATATGTGGCTGTTTGTGCAAAAAACATAGGAGCCAGAAATGGGAAATTCAGTAAAGAAGAAGGGTGAGAACAAGTGGTGTCTTATGGCTTATTAGGGTTACAGGATCCAGCAAATTCTTGTTACTAAGCCAGCATCTCACAAATGTAGAGGGGAAATAACCCAACAGTCTGATTCTCAGGATGTGACCTAAGGAGGCAAAGAATTCTGGACTCTTAACTGGCTTTGCAGAGTGTAGATCCGGGCTGGATCTAGGAAGAACTCATTTTGGTCAGTAGTTTTGGGCCTTTCTCCCTATGAGCTCAGGTAGCTTTTTTATCTGTAAAATGGGGATAATGATATTTTTCGTATTAGGTTGTGAGGATTAGGTGAAATAATGCGTCCAGCCCAGTTTCTGGCGCACAGCAAATGTTCATCTTTTCTTCTCCATTCAGTGAACCCTGTGAATGTATGTTTACATGGGTAGCTATCTTGGTCAGAAGTTTTGGAGCCCCAGCTCTGGTGAGCTGGGTTGCACACAGGGTCGATCTTAGTTCTTAAGAGCCTCAGGCCCAGGTTGATAGTCTGGGTGTTCTCCACACATGACTGAGTCCGCCTGGACCCGCTCAGGAACTGTAATGTGGAACATCAAGTGAGGCCTGTGCTTGTCAGGGCTGGTGCTTGACACTTTGTGCCAATTACGTGGTTTAATCCACAGAGCAACCTAGGAAGTGTGTCCTGCTGTTTTACAGATGAGGGACAGGGATGCTAAGTCACCCGCTGAAAGTTGTGCAGCCTGTAAGGGACAAAACTGGGATTTGAACCCAGGGAGGCAGCCTGAGTAATAGCAAGGAAGAGGGAGCACCAAAGACCAAGTGCGTTTCAGAGGAAGCTGGAAAACAGGTCCTAGCAAGCGAGTCTGACTTTCTACCTCCTAAAAGGGAAGCTCGCTTGGAAGACTAGCCAGAAAAATGGGCTCGCTCTCCTTGGAGGTTAGTACCTGCAAAATACAGCTCATCACAGGGGTGGGGTCGGGTGGGTGGGGGGAGTTGGGGTCAGGCATTGAGCCTTTCATGGCTTGTCTTAGCAAGGCTGCAAATGCAAATGTACAGCAGTCACTGATTTAATGTCGGGGTAAACGGTCCCAGGGAGAAGGAATAGAAGTAAAAAGCAAGGAAAACCCATGGATCAGACAGTTGTGGGGAGGGCAAGCCCTGCGTGATAAGGCGTCTTGAGCTTGTGCTAAGTGTTTTCTATTCTGGTCTCCTCTTTGGATTTCATAGCAACGTGTAGTTGGGGTGTTTTGTAGCTGATAGTGGGATCTCCTCTTGCTACTGAGGAGATTGAGAGTTCAGTAGCTTTGCTAACACCGAGATCCAGAGCCCATGCGCTTTCTCCCCAGCAGACAGCTCTACTACAGGACGTGGCAGTAGGACCCACACCCAGTACTGGGTAATAGGGGAATGGGGGTGGGGGGGGCACCGGGAGCCCCAGGACTTACGGCATTCAGGCAGCATGCACTTTTCCACCTGCTCCAGCTCCTCATTACAGTCCCCGAGTTCGGCCAGAGACTTGAGCATCCGCTGGCGGGTCCGCATGCCCTTCCCACAGGTCACACTGCAGTCACTCCACTCAGACCATGAGGACAGCAAGCAGGGGATGGTATCTAGGCCAAGAGCCAGGTTTGCCTCTGAGAACAGGCTCCTTTTACTCTCTCTGCTCTCCTTGTTCCCCCCTACCCCCTGTCCCCAACTCTGGCCCCTGGAGTCAAGTGAAATGGACCGATGGCTTCAGAAAACCCAAGGGACCCCACGGAGCAAGAACTGGCTCAGCAGAGTACTGCTCTTGTCACTCTCCTGCATCTCCCCTGGGGCTCAGGACATCAGATTAACTCAGTAATATGAATACCCAAGTCCCCACCTGAAACACCACCCACTCCCCAAGAACTGTGCAATATAGTTTTGGACATTTGGTGAAATCCTAGAATGTTCATGTACTTGTGTGCATATGTATGCTTGTATACTGGTGTGTGGGCCTATGTACATTTGTGCATAGAGCTGGGGTTGTAATGCGTTATGAAGCCAGGCAAGTCCCATGCAGAACAAGAGTGGGGACCTATGACCTGTGGACTGGATGTCCTGCCTGAATGTTACTATACAACCCCTCCCCCCACCCCGACAACCAAGAAACTCTGGGGTCCTATAAAACACAGCTGCAGGTAAATGCTTTCCAGAGGCCAGCAGTTTGCTATCTCAGCACTGCTCAGAAGGTCCCTCAAGGGAGGCCCCTCTCTCGGTCTGCTTGGTGGCCCTTATCTTGCAAGGACAGTGTGCCATATTTCCTCCCAGCACCCGCTCAGCCTCTGGCCTTGCTGCTGGGGGATAGGAAGGGTGCTGGGATCCTCCATACCGCCCCCATCCCCTGCCCCACGCGCACTCACGACACTCGGGCATCATGCACTTCTCTGCCTGGGATGTCTCGGCCTTGCACATGGAGCCGTCCGCCGGGCTCATCTTGACCATGCGGTGCCGCTTCTTCATGCCCATCCCGCAGGTGGCGCTGCACTCATCCCACTCACCCCACTCGGTCACCAGGCAGCTGCTGGGAGCTGGAAGGCCAGCCCTGTTGGAATCAAGTCTACGGCCTCGGCGCCCCCGCCCCCTGCACTTGCTGGGCACCCCTACTCACAGCACTCCTCGTTGACTGTGCACTTCTCCGTCTCCTCGGTGGGCAGCGTGCACACAGAGCCATCCTCAGGGAACTGCTTCACATACCTCTCCCGGGACCGCATGCCCATGCCACAGGAGCTGCTGCAGGGCGACCAGGTGATCCACTCGGACATGGTGCAGGTGGAGCCGTCTGCAACACACGAGCTGATGCTGTGGCCTGTGTGCCCAGCTCCCCAGTGCAGGGATCGAGAAGGAACGGGCCGGCTTTCCCATTGCCTATTCTTGCCTCTTTTGTCCAAAATTAATTCACCATATGATGTTTCTGGGTTTTCTGCTCTGCTCCACTGACCTATAGGTCTGTTTTTGTGCTAGTACATGGTTTTGAAGGGGAAAAAGATAGTTTCTTCAACAAATGGTGTTGGGAAACTGAACAGCTACCTGCAAAAGAATGGAACTGGACCCTTTTCTTACACTCAAAACGGATTAGGGACCTAAATGTGACACCTGAAACCATAAAAATACAAAAAGAGAGGACAGGCAGTAATTTCTGATAATCACTGTAGCAACATTTTTCTAGATAGGTCTCCTGAGGCAAGAATTAAGAGCAAAAATAAACTGTTGGGACTACGTCAAAATAGAAGCTTCTGCACAGCAAGGGAAACAAAACAAAAAGGCAAATGGGAAAAAATATTTGCAAATGACCTCTGTGATAAAAGGTTAGTATCCAAAATATATAAAAACTTATAAAACAACACCCCCCAAATAATCTAACAAATGGGCAGGAGACATGCACAGACACTTCTCCAAAGAAAACTTCCAGGTGGCCAACAGACCCATGAAAAGGTGTTCAACATCACTCATTAGGAAAATGCAAATCAAAACTCCAATGAGCTGTTAACCTCACACCTGTCAGAATGGCTAAAATAAAAAACACAAGAAACAAGTGTTAGCAAGGATGTGGAGGAAAAGGGAACCCTTGTGCACTGTTGGTGGGAATGCAAACTGCTGCAGCCATTCTGGAAAACAGGATGGAGGCTCCTGAACTAGAACTATTTTATGATCCAGTAATCACACTACTGGGTATTTACCCAAATAAAACCCCACTAATTTGGAAAGGATATATGCACTCCTCTATGTATTGTAGCATTATTTACAATAGCCAAATTATGGAAGCAACCCACGTGTCCATCACTTGGTGAATGGATAAAGAAGATGGGGCATATGTATGTAATGGAATATTATTCAGCCATAAGACAGAATGAAACCTTGCCAGTTCCAAAAACATGGATGGAGCTAGGGAATATAATGCTAAGCAAAACAAGTCAGACAAATCCCAGAGAATTTCACTTAATGTGGAATTTCAGAAACAAAAACGAAAAAAAGTCTTACTTGGTTTATCTCTTAACTGTAGAGAAACTGATGGTCACCAGAGGAGAGGGGGATGGGTGAAACAGGTGAAGGGGACTAAGAGTACAGTTACCACGATGAGCACTGAGTAATGTACAGAATTATTGAATCACTATATTGTACACCTGAAACTAATATAGGACTGTAGGTTAAATATCCTGGAATTAAACCTAAAAAAACAAAACTGGGTAGCATTCAAGGGGAGTTAGGCAGTTGATGGATGGGAAGTTAAAAGGTATACATCTTGAAACCAGGAATTGTTCTTGAAGAGGACGTGCCTGTTTTCCAGGTGCATGGGGCACTCAGGATTAGGCCTTATTCCATGACATTGCATTTGAAAGCTGCTTGGATGGGTAGAATGTTTTATTTATACATAAAGTAAAATTTAGGATAAATCATAATCTAACGTTACACATCTGTATGGTCTAGGATGTATCCTATATCTAAGACCATTAAATAAAATGAAAAATACACTTCCTTAGACACTAACTACATTTTAAGTACACAGTAGCCATGTGTGATTAGTGGCTACCATTTTGGACAGTACAGATACAGAACTTTCCCATCACAGAAACTTCTGGACAGTGCTGGAAAGATACTATATATGTATTCTGAGATACAGGATAAGCTCTTTTGCCCAGAGGAACCAGAGATTTTATAGTTCTTGTCTAAAGATGCCAGTTCCCAGTCTAGAAAAATTTATGAGAATTTGGTTCCTGAGGGTGAAGACTGACTGGCCTTCGGACATAGGGACCTGAGGATGGACACAGGATGGATTTATACCCAAACAGCAGATTATACTCAGTGGCCCCAGCCCTCTCATTGTGCTACTGAGGTTGGCTACAATGGGGAGCAGATGGTGGGGTGGGGAGGGAATGTCTGTGTGTGCTAGAGGAGGGGTCATAGTGGAAGAATGAGGAAGGCCGTATAACCAGCCTTCTCTGTTGATACCTTGGGCTGTATATGGCTTTGCTCCTATCACTAGGTGCTAGCAAAGGCCATGATCATATAGGAGACACTCTGGAGGTTGTTGGAAAAGATAAAGCTCTCAGCATGGCTTGGTAGTCCTGTTTCCAAGTAGTGGTGGGAGTGCTATCCTGGTGGAAACAGGGGGTGTGTGTCTGCCTGCTTAGTTCTTTAAGAGGGCAATAAAGTCTTCTAGCTATCCATTTATCCATATCAATAAAGATCTCCTAAATGCTTTGAATGCTTCATGGTATGCTCTGAAGTTAAAAAGATGTGTAAGATCTGAATCTTGCTCTACTTTAGAAAGAGATGGGCACAATAATTCCAGGTATCAAAAGTTATGCAACAAAGGTAAGCCCAGGGAATTAAGCATAGAAGAGGGAAAAAACTCTCTCCTTGGAGTTTGGGGGAAGATTTCACACAAAAGGGCACATCTGAGTGTACTTTTGGTGGGTAAAGGATATCTGCATTTAAGGTGAAGGGAAAGCTTATGCAAACACCCTTGTATAGAGTGTGCATATACGTGGTATTGGAAAGTGAAGCTAGAACGGATCGAGTGTGAGTCCAGCCTGCATATGTCCGTGGCTGTCACTTGCACGTGTGTGTTGCCTCCGCAGGGTTATTTAACCTATGGACAGTGCTGGTGGAATGTGTAAGAAATCCCTGCTAGAACCCACACGTTAGACCCAAAGACAAGGCTAATTAAAGGCAACATACACTACCAAACAAGAACATTATGTTCCAGTGTAATAATAGGGGTAGGGCTTGAAAGCTCCACTTCAGGCTTTCCAGGACCTGATAAGAAAGACATTACCCCAGGAAGGCAGAATACGGTCCCCACCCACCTGAGTATGTACTGACAGGCCACACTCTTCCTGATTTCAAAACTTAACAAAGCTACAGGAATCAAAACCGGGTGGTATTGGGCACAAGAACGGACATCTAGACCAATGGACTAGAATAGAGAGTGAGCCTAGAAACAAAGTCTCACATCAACGGGCAAATAATTTGACAAGGGTGCCAAGACCATTCAATGGAGAAAGGACAGTCCCTTCAATAGATGATGGTGCTGGGAAATTTGAATATCCATATATGAAAGAATGAGGTTAGACTTTTACCTAAGATCATGTTCAAAAATTACCTTGAAATGGATCAAAGACCTAAACAGAGCTAACACCATAAATCTCTTAGGAGAAAACACAGGGCAAAACCTTCATGACACTGAATTTAGCAATGATTTTTTGGACAGGACAGCCAAGGCACAGGCAACCAAAGAGCCAAACCAGATTTCATGAAAATTTAGAACTTGCACAAAAGGACACTGTCAAGAGTGAACAGATAACTCCAAGAATGAGAGAGAATATTTGCAAATCCTGTATCTGATAAGGGATTAATATCTAGACTACATGGAGATGGAAGGGTTGGCTCCCCTCTGAAGGGCCTTGCCAAAGGCACAAACGACAATAAGCCACTGTGGGCGTCCAGCCGGGAGGGTTATCTAAGACTGTCCCCAGGAAGAGCCAGAGGGTGAATGACCTGCAGTGCGAGAAGCTTCCTTCAATTATCCTCGGCTTGGAAGTGGTCTTCTTCCTGCCATAAACCAGCCCATATTCTGTGTCCTTTCCTGTTGCCTCACGGCACCTCTGAGAGAGTTAAGATCAAAGTACAGAGAGAGTCCAGATCTGTCCAGGTGGAGAGCGCGGGTGTGCCCTGGAAAGTAGGTGGCCGACCTCTGCCCGGCAGGCAGCCCAGTGCCATTCTGAAGCTTGGGCCATCACCACCGAGGTGGTGCAAGCTCCTAGCTCAAGCCTGATTTTTGAGCAGTTTTCAGAGAGACAGAACTCTTGCAGTCAGCCCAGCGGTCCTGACACGGAAAGCAGGTGCTCTAACTCAGGCAGAAGGGAGACATGAAGGTCCATGAAAGACACAGAATTAGGGCAATGGATCTAGATTCAGTGTTGGCTACCTTGTTCTGTTCCTTCGGAAGAGACTGGAGTGAAGGCCCAGAAGCAGGCTGCTTGTTAGAGTTGTGATTGTCATAAGATGTTTGCTAGCTTTTTAGTGACTGGTGTGTCATTGATTCCATGGCTGGAGGGAGTTGGGTAGATAATCAAGAATTCTTTTGATGTCTTAGGACATTGTTGGAGATGGGGTTCTTCCCTAGTGGTCCCCACCGGCCACTATGGTCAGGGTCCTGGTGCCCTCCTAGGGACACTGACCAGGTACGAGGGGCCAGCAGAGCCAGGTAGCACCTCCCTTCCTCGGCCTCTGCCAGCCACTTGCGCCCCTGGGCTGTGCGCTCACCTTCATCGCTGCAGCCCGGGCCCATGCAGGGCTGGAAGTCCTGGGTATCAGGGCAGGGGACACTGAGGTCCAGCTGTGCCTTCAGCATGCGCTGCCGCATCCTCTTGCCTTTGTCACAGGTGGAGGAGCTGCAGGCGGACCACGGGGACCAGTTGGAGTAGATGCAGGTTTCAGGGGTGTCATCTGGAACGAGTACGTGACAGGTTTTCCCTGGGAGCCTGTGGACACTGGGGCTGGCCCTCTCCCCCACACAAGCTCATTTGCAGATAAGATCCCTGCCGCTTGACCTGCCTCAGTGAACCTGGGTACTCTTGGGGTGGAAGCAGCTACTCACTTGCCTTTAAAAATTAAAATCATTGCAACAATATCTAAACAACAGGGAAGATCTCTTACTATCCCTTCCCTCAACACGTGAAGAGCTTTTCATTTCTAGTCCCATCTTCCTGATGACCCTATAACAGGGGTCACGTAAGGGCAGCCGGTGTTCACGGAGTGAACTTACTACACGCCAACAGCACTCTGAGAACCTTACATGTTTTAGCCCATTTGATTCTTACAACAACTCTCAATGAGGCAGGTTCGGTGATCATCCCCATTTTACACTAGGACACCGTGGTGGGATGGGAGCTTCTTGCCCAAGGCCACAGGAGGACCCCGGTTGTGTGGCTCCAGATCCCATGAGGACACGGGCTCAAGCCTAGGCTCTGCGCTTCCCTCCTGACGGTAGCATCTGGGCCTCCCCTTCCTCGCTAGGGAAGTGGTTGTGTCCATGCCTCACAGGACAGTGTGACAAAGCAGAGCGCACTGGGGATACTGTGACACCCACCCAAAGGCCCGATACCAGTGAACACATATTCCGATAGCCCACTTACACCAACTCCCTTATACTCTGTGCCCAGTCCTGGCCTTATTTTGGATGATCTTCCATGCAGAAGTCCTCAAAGATGGGTTACCAAGTCAAAGGACATGAGGTTTTTGCAGCTCTTCAAACCTGTTAGAAAACTGCTTTCCCAAAAGGTATGGCCAGTTTATGTTGCTACCTGCAACGAAGGACAACTACATACCTTCATCTTTCTCTTCTGGAGCCAGATCTGCTACAATATCGTCGACATTGTCAGGCACGATATTGCATTGTTCCCCCTGCAAAAGGACATTTTGCTTGGAGGGCTCACATTAAAGAATGGCATGCGTGGGGGACAGAGGAAGGAGGACATAAAAATCGGATGCCCGCCCCGTGTACAAATCCCAGGCCATGGTGGAGTTTTGAGCCAACATTTACAATCGGACCGAAAGAAACGGCAAGAAAGCCACAGCTTCCTAGTGCCTGACCCATGGCAGACATTAATAATCAACTGTGGAACTCACAATGAAACCGGTTTTTCTGGATCGCATCATTCAGGAGAGCACAGAACCTTTCCCTTATGTTTATTTTGCTCATTTATAGCTTATGAATAATTTGCATGCTTAGAAAGCTTGGGAGGTCCAGGAGTTCTAGATTCTGGAATATGCAAGGGACCCTATGACTCTAGAGCAGAAAGGGGTACAGTCTGCTTACACTCCTGGTGGGAAGGGTCCGTGCCAGGGTGAGCTCTACCCCATTACCTTCCGGGCGATTCTCTCGATGACAACTCTGGCCACTTGAGTGATAGACCCGCCCTCTGGATCGTAAAAAGGACTCTGAGGATGGTCCAGACTGGTCAGGGGCCGGATTTTCTCCTGGGGAATTGTGGGCTTGTTGGGTGACTGTGGGGGTGGGGGTGGGGTGGGAGAAACACAGATACAGAGTGTGGGAAACAAAGTGGTTAAAAATCACAACAGCAATTTGATTGTAATAGGATCAACAAAAGCCATGATAGGGATTTCACAACAGCTATAACTACTATGGATGTTTATGCAATTCTATCCACCCTGTGCATCGTGCAAGGAAATCGGGGACCTATACTTTCAGACTCTCCCAGGTACGCAGGATTCCATCCTGATGAAGAAAAGGTTTCAGAGAGGTCATTCCAGCCAGGAGACAGCTGAACCAGGCTGGCCTGAATCCAGAGCTCTTCCTATTAGACCACGTGTTGGCAAACGAGTCTGTAGAGGGTCAGATGGTAAATATTTCAAGGCTTTGTGGGCCATCCTGTGTCGGCTACAACTCCACTTAGCTGTTGTCGTGAGAGAGCAGCCCCCCACAACATGTACTCGGGGGCGGCTGGGTTTGAACACCTTATTTACAGATCAGGTGGTAGTCCCAATTTGGCCCACAAACCATAGTTTACCAGTGTCTGTTCTAGACGGCCCTGCCGCTGGTTTTCTAATGGCTTCACATTTCCATGCAGTTGGTGTGCTGACCCCAGCTGAAAAATTTTAACATTCAGGACAGAATCCAAACTCCTTAACCTGGCTGGCTGTCTGGAAACCTCCAGAATCTGGCCCAGTCTAAAGTACGGACATCAACTTCTGTTCCCCATTCTCACCCCTTCTCTCGCTCTGTGCTTCCCTCCCTGTTTCCTGCTGTTCCCTGGCTTACCTGGGAACTGCCCTTTAGCAGGTTCCCTCTCCCTGGCCTCGTGGCCAGCTGTGTGGGTCACACTGTATGCGGTCTGCGAGAGGGAGATGATGCTGACCTGCCCGACCACACCGTGCGTTCATCTACGTCATTTACGTCCAGGCCCACCAGCGCGGGACCAAAGAGGAAGCACCCAGGAACGGTCGTCCCGTCACCACTGCAGGTGCTCACCCACCTCATAGGTCACCCCACTGTCAGTGCCAGCGTCCCAGGGGATCAGGTCCTGCACCACCTTCTGGACCCAGCCGCACTCTTTGGTGCACAGATCCTCTGCAGACAGGCCCACGTTCCAGTCGGGGCTGGGGCCCATCATGGTCAGGAAGGACATCAAGTGGCGCGTCCTGTCCACTGAAAATTCAGCCGAGGGTGCGGCTCTCCTGGAAACCAAACACATTACATTAGGGGCCATGGGGGTGCACACTCTGAGGGACATCTGGCCAGACCATGGCTAAGGGAGGAGAGGACGGAAAGAAGGTGGATTCTCGGTCTTCCACGGATCTCTGCCTTTGGCCACGACTGGTTGACACCCTTTACTGTCCTGAGCCCCTCCACTGGCCACATGTGGAGAGAATCACCTGCTACCACACTGTCCAGTTCCAATGCACTCAGAGCACTTACTGTTTCACATAGGCGTATTGTTTAGCTGCTTACTGATGGTCAGCTGTCACTGGATGTGAGCTCTGGGCAAGCAGGGCTGTTGTCGGTCTTATTCCAGGGCTTGATTTCCAGTGCCTACAACAGTGCCTGGCACAGAGTAGATGCTCAGTAAAAGTGATTCAATAAATGGGCGAACAAATATCTTGTGTTACTGTAGCTGAACTCAAGCTCATCTGCCTGATGCCTAGCAAAGACAATCACTGAGACACGGCCTACGCAGCCAGGAGAAGTTTCGAGAGGGAGCCGAATGGGGAGATGGGAGGGCAAGCCTCAAATCCACCTCCCCCCGAGGAGGAGAGTCAGGGAAATTTGAAGGCAAATGAGAAAGGTCTGGGTTAAAAAGTTGCAGCTGAGCTTCCTAGTCTGCAGCTGTGATCAGTCCCCCTATCCCTTTGGTTATGGGTTCTAGTCCCCACTGTCCTTTGATCCTTCCCCATCCTTGAGGGAATGGGGATGAGGACTGCTCCGGTTACTTCCTGCTGAGATGGGGTGAGGACTAGAGTTAGAGGAATGGAAGCTCTCTGCCTGCCATTCTGCATGACCGAGATTTGTGTACTTTGGTTGGTAGTGCGGGGACTCTGTTTTACCTAGGGCCTTCGGGGAGATTGGTCGGAACCAAGCTTGTTGTAGGCACGGGTTTCCTCAGACCGGCTCTCCTGATGAGCAGTTTCAGGTCTGCTGGGGGCTGGCTGTGCCAAGCGGTGCTCCCTGCGAGGTCCTCCTTGCCTACAGGCTGTAGGAAACCCGTGGATTCTCCTAACTCGAGTGCGAGGAATGCACGGCTTTCTTCCCTCCAGTGTCACTGAAGAATGGGTGGTCAGCAGCACCCGGCAAGGTCCTGGGCGGGGAGTCTGGAGCTGGCCCTCTGCGTGCTCGCTCTGCCGGTCTTTAGTGACCCCAAGTCTCCGGGAATCCGGCGACGTAAGTGCACACCTGCGGGGCACGTCAGCCTGCTGGCAGTGAGCCTGCCCACTCAGTGTGCCTGATAATATCCAATTCCCTAATGGGAGCCCCGTCAGGAACCCCTAAGTCATGAAAGGGGTGCAGAAGGAGTCTTCTGTATAACATAGAGGCTTAAATCAAGCCCACTCTGGGGGGCCACTCTTACCCAGAGCAGAGCAACCAGCAAGTTAGTTTCCTGGCGTATTCTTGCCAAATTTAATTTTTCTTTTTTTTTTTTCCCCCAGTCGGTGGGGGGCTCCATTGACCGCGCAAGGCGTCGGGCACCACATGCATGACTTTTGCCACAAATGCTGCTCCCCGGTCGTCTGAATTGTTAGTGGCGATCCAAACCTAGGAAGGATTTTGCTTAGAAGTGTTTTGACAACTTCTGAGGACTTCCCTGAAGGGCGTGCGAAAGCTTCAGCCCAACTTGTAAAGGGATCTATAAATACTGGCAAGTATTGAAAATTCTCTGTTGTTTTGGCCTCACGGTAAAATCCACCTGCCAGTCTTGTCCAGGTTCAGAGCCTAAAACTTCCTAAGACGTTAGACAAAGTTCTAAGGTGTTGGTTTCCTCCCCCTTTTGGACAGATTTTGCAGTGGAGAGAAGATGAACTTACCTGACTTTCAATCAACAGAGGGAGAATAAAAGTTTTGTATTTAATGCTTTTAATTCTAAACACATGTCCATTTTAATTAAATCAGCAACCTTAAGTTAGCTTTAATACTGAAGAGTTTTCAAGATCATGTGAAAAACACTTGGGTTAGTTTCTGTCTTTGAGTTTTAGAATGGCCAATTCTAACAAGCACTTGCTTTTTAACGGCCTAAATAGAACTCTCGTACAAATTAGTCTTAGCAACACCATGCAGACGTAGAAACTAGCTCACACTTAGAACACATATGGACACATACAAATACATAAACAAGGTGCAAATAGGATCTTAAAGGCCCAATTTCCAAATCTCTTTTATAACACAAATCTAAGTGCAAGGTAGTATAATTTATGGGTCCATTAGGTGGTCATTTTTCTCAAGAGTCTAATGAATATGGCGGCTAAGCCGTGTTGCAAAAAAAATATTGCCCCGTTTTGGAGAATAGAGCCCGACGGGCTGCACGGGGGGATCAAATGGTCACTTCCCATTTTCCACTTAGAACATGGCCAGTTTTATTCAAAGATCCCAAAAGCTGCTACAACAAATGAACCAAACGAAGCCCAGAGCCTGGCCTGTAAGGGCCTCGGTTCCTCCACAGAAGACCAGGCTTCACTGATTGAACCAGATGGCTTCCTAGTTTCTAGCTCCTCCCTAAAAGTCAGAGCTCCACTGGCTGAACCCAACCGTTTGCTAGTCAGCCTTGTCTTAAGAAAAGGAGGCTAAGAGAAGCAAAACCCTCTACTTGGAGGCAGCTGAGTGAGAGGAAGAAATCCAAGAAAGCCAAACCAAAAGGGAGGAAGAAATAAGCTCCTTGCCACCGCGCATGAAGTACTCACCCAGACCTCTCTGTCCAAACCAGACCCCAAAGCCATTGCCTGGCTGCAGGAGTGAATTTAGGTGCTGAACCTTGGTGGGGCCCTGAGGACGGGCCCCCACGACAAAGAGCCTAGGCAACTTCTCGGGTCAGCAGGCTCCCGTTACCAGCTGGGGGCCAACAAACCAGGGGCACAAAGCTCCTGCTGGGCTCCCCATGTTTGCATGCAAACCCAAGGTCATCTGCCTAGTGCTCAGCAAAGATGGTCACCGCGAGACGCCGAGTAGGCAGCAAGGATAAGGATTTATGCGACAGGCAGCCAAATGAGGAGACCGGAGGCCAAACCTCAGATCCACTTCCTCCAAGGAGCAGAGTCAGGGAAATTTAAAGGCAACCGAAAAAGGTCTGGGTAAAAAGAGCCGCCCCTGCGTGCTTACTGGTCTGCAGCTGAGGGCGGTCCCATTAACCCTTTGCTGGCGTCGTGGTGTGCCCAGCTGTGTTGGATGGGAGGTGAACTTTACAAATAACAGCTGTACAGTCCCCCGAGCCCCTGCTCAGACATTCTCACTGAATCCTCAGAACTGACCTGAGAGATGAGTGACTCCAACTTATGGATGAGGAAACCCAGGCTTAGAGGGTTTTGTTTATGTAACAGGTCCAAAGTCACAAAGTTAAATGGCGGACGGAGACCGTGACCCAAGGCAATATGAGCTCAAGATCAGTGTTCTTTTCATCATCCATTTCAAATTCCTTCTCCCTGCTGCCTTTTCACTCTACTGAGATCTACGTTGTGCCATCAGGGGGGGCGTCTCCATGGCCTGCTGCCTCCCTTGTCCTCACAGGGCTGCCTCCAGCAAGGCCCTGCGGTCCCAGAGCTCCCCCAGGGACTCACATGCTTCCCTGGCCACATCCTCCAGGTGGTGAGCAGGGACCCAGCTATAGCAGCACAGACCTTTGCCTGACGACCCCCAAGCCACAAGAGGTGATTGTCTTCAACCTCTGTCTCAAGTTGCTAAGAAGAGGTCTTACTCTTGGCCAGGGCTGGGTGAGGTCAGTGGTGGTGGTCCTCCCCCGCCCTGGGGGGGCGCTGGGGAAGAAAGCGTTCTATTCACTCAGCACATGCTTGGTGGCAGGCCCCAGTTATTTTATTTCCCCACCCCCATGACAATCCCGTGGGGTTAGAGTTATTCCGTTTTGTAGAGAAGAAAGCAAGCAATAGAGAAGAAGAGTTATTATCCCGTTTTGTAGAGAAGAACCTATAAAGGTTAATGGACCTAGAGACACAACTGGTAGGGGCTGAGGTTTAAAGGCAGCTCCGCCCGACTCTACACCCCCAGGCTGCTCATCATGGGGAATCCTTGGCTGGGGACCAACTCGTCCGTTCAGTTCAGCTGGCAGCCGGTCCACCTCGGCTGTCCGGGAGTCCCTGTGTGCCTCTCTGGAGACCGGCTGCTCTGGCTGCCCTCCCCTGTCCCCAAAAGCAATGACCCCAGCCCTGGTTAGGCCTCGTGGAACTGGACCCCTTGGGCTCTGGCAGGCCGGATGGGGTCAAACAATGAGCAGAGAGGGACGGAAGCCTGGGTGTGCGTCCTGGCACGCTACCTCTTACAGCTGTGATTCCTTGGGCAAACGACCAAAGCATTCAGTGCCTCAGTGTCCCAATCTGTGAAATGGGGACCTCCCTATGGCTACGCCAAAGTTTTAGGGTGTGTAATGAGAGAACTTGCATCCAGCACTTAGTCCAGTGCCTGGCCCTTGAGCTATGAGTACTCTATCGAGAGAGAAGCAGTGCAGGGTCATACAGAGCTCAGAAAAGAGAGGGAAGTGGAGGGAGGCCTTCCCAAGGAGACTTTACATTGTAGCCTGCTGCCAGTCTGTGTTCTGTCCCAGGAGTGCAGGAAGAGCCTGCGCCCCGGCTGTCTTTGGCCTGGTGTTGCCTTCGTCTGAATCCTCTTGCCTCCCCCCAACTCCGGTGCCCTGGCCAGGCCAGCTGCGGGGCCAGTCCCACGTGCACTTGCCCCTGCTGGGAAAGCCCGTCTTCAGTGCCTGGCAACGTGTTAGAAATGCAAATTATTGCGCCCCACCGCTGATCTGCTTCAGCAGGGACTCTGGGGTGGGACCCAGCCTTCTAGATTAACAACCCCTCCAGCTGATCCTAATGCACCTCAGGTTTGAGAACCGTTGCTCTGCTCATCTTTCAAGCCTCGGGTCATGAGCCACCTCATCCTGGGGCCTCTCTGATGCCCCTCACCGGGGCCCGTGCCCATGGTCCGTGTTTCCACACACTACCCAAGGGCTGACATCGCTCCG